CAAACTTTGCTATTTAATTTGACCACGTTTCACCTTCGTATAGCTTTCCGGCTTTCAATACACCTCCAGACGCGCAGCTGCCGCCACGTCTAAATGGAGTACGCAACCACGGACTGTCCATCTCTGGGATATTAAGGGCAAGTCTATATATCAACGAAACTGCCACCAACAAACGATGTCAGAATTCAGTTGTTTTACTTCATAATAAGCCCGAGTGATGGTTTGTTTCTAGCCAAGATAGTCAGAAACTCCCCGGCCAACTCTTCGGTGTAGCCATTTTTTAGAGCTTAAAAAATGCAATGCTTATACTGTTGCCGGGAATTACTATATATCCCCTACAGCAGTATAAGCACTGCGGAAGAGGCAGTATAAGAAGCGCTGTAGGGGAACGCACGTACGCGACATTCGCACCGGACCCGTTAATGAGGATCTGCTGCAGGGCGCTGTACCTTGTGGGTCCTTCAATCCTCATCCTGCAAAACTAAAATAACAGTCATGTGAAGAGAAGTTACTAGCTTGAGACTGGCTCACACACTCCGAAGCTTCTTCCCTCGTAGTGTAGTGTCCTACATCCGCCGCACTTTTGCCTTCGGACTCTCGGGAAACAGAGAAAAGCAACGTGGTGTGGAAAATGGCGAAGTCAGTACAATCCCACTACTCGAATTTCCGCATCTGGTACGCCCTCTTCGCTTTCCTACGCTTCATCGTAACCCAACAATCGGAAAAAATTTTTGCAGCTCGCATAATTTTTCTCTAATGTAAGACTAGTACCACCCCTCCTCCAGTGGCCAACTAACCCTCTCCAGTGGCCGGTACCAGGCGCACTGATGGGATTATCTCAAAGATGCTGTATACCGTGGGAAAAACGCTAAAGTTCACCCAAGAAGAGGTCGTTGAGTTTGTCGAGCTAGAAGCCAAGCCAGTTGTCAGTTGCGCACTGAACTAAACGATGTTTTCAGTAGAAACGACTTCCTCGTTGCTCACAATAAGTGGAGCTGAGATAGCCACGCACATATCCCTGGAGAGCACTTTAGCAAGAATGATGAGTAAACCCGTAGATAGTAAGAATGCACTTGTAGGACATCTCCCGAAAAAAAGTGCGATATCTAGCTGAATATGAAATCCTTCTACATGGCATCCATCAAACTGAAGAATTTTCAACGTGAGAGTCCTATGCAAATCACTGGGGAGGGGTCGTATTTGAGCTGTTGGGAGGAAATGATAGTCGCAGTGAAGACTCCAGTCAGTGTACGGGTCGTATGCGAACCGACGAGGAGGGGTCCTTCAGCGTGTCAAGGGCATGGCAATCCTTGGAAAGAAAAGCGTCAAAGTTCCCGCTGTTCTCCCTTCCATCCGATTGGAAGGTGAAAAACTGAAGGTGAGTATGCAGGTAAAGTTCGATAGTCTGGTCGAATTGGTGGTACTCAAGGAATGGATGGTACTCACAACCAGAGAATGGATTTAGGAAATTCGGCAACCCTTTACTGCCCAGTCATCCGAAATCAGGCCAGTTCCTGACCGACTTTTTTCTCCGTGGGCAGAATTTGCTGAAAACTTGGCTCCAGGGGTAGTTTCGACCCGCTGAACACGAATATCGCATCCGCTTGACCCGAAACCTCCTGGCCCGCGCCACGGGCGCCGGCGCCAAAATACTCGAAATAACCAAGTTTGCGTGAAAACTTGCTCCCAGGGGTAGTTTGACCCGCTGAACACGAATATCACATCCGCTCAACCCGAAACCTCCTGGCGCCCGCACCACGGGCACCGGCGCCAAAATACCCCAAATCATTGGCGCCTGTGGCGCGGGCGCCAGGAAGTTTTGGGCTGAGCGAATGTGATATTCGTATTCTGGAGGTCAAACTACCCCAGGGAGACAATTTTGAGAATCTGTCAACGATTTGGAGAAAAGTGGTCGGAGGCTGGCCTGAATTTTCGGATGAGTGGGCAGTTAAAGGGTAAATATGCGGAATATCTTTCTCACTTATTTTATGAAACTTGACTCTGGGAATCAAAGTGGAAGCTAAATCCCTGAAGCAGCTCAAATGGACAGAACTCGGGAATGGGTTATGGATTGAGCTGGTTCTGTCAGGGAACGAACTGCGAACGAATATAATTTGAAGGAAGTTAATTCGAATGTTTCGTCATTGATAACTCTCAAAGATGGAGCATAAGACAATTGCTCGCGTGAGCATCAGCGGGGATATTCTTGCAGATATAAAAAGGGTTGCGGTGCGAACAGTATGTATCAACGAATATAAAGGTAGCCGGAGCACCGTAATCTGTGAAGTCATATTATAGTTCGGTGAAATGGTGACCCCACGACGATGCGAAAATCCCCTGGGCGATTTGAACAGTGGTCGCGGTAGCGACGCGGTATCTATATCATGATTATTGGTGCTCGAACCAGGGTAGCATCGTTGTGATACCACACGGGGAGGGTCGTATCTGGATCAGAAGAAAATTTTATTTGATAGTGTGTTGCTCTTGATTTCACGCTGTAAAGGGAGGGGGGGTCCCGTACTTGGTCAGTTCCTGACGCACTATATTCGCGACACTTGAAAAATGATAGTTCTAATTCTGACAACGTCCTCCCCCTCGACGGCTGCGGTTCGATGGCTGGAAGGGAGGGGGGTCGTACCAACTCCCAAAAGGGGGTCGTATTTTAGTATGGATAGGGGGGGGTCGTAATTTTCAGAAAATGATCACAACGCGATGGCGTGCCTGGTCGACCAGGGCAGAATGAGCTCTCCATTCGAGCCTGCGACACGGAGTGGCGCGTGGGCGCCATTCGTGTCTCAATGTGCTCGAGGGACGCGGAGAACTTTCACAACATTCGTTAACGAGCTTCCATAAAGGAGTCGTTACTTGGGGGTTACGACGTCGTTCGGGTTTTATTCGATATTTAGCGAGACACATCACGACAATCTAAGTATAATTAGAGAGTATTACGCTAGCTATAGCGATATGACATCTTTGCGATATGGAAATTGTTGAATCTGAAGATAAGAGGTAAATTGTCGGCGTTTGATCATCCGGGCTTCTTGGAGGGTCATTCTACTATCACTCGAAAAATCGTAGTGGTACCAGTAAGTACGATCGGCCCTATACAATGAACTGGTGGGGCCAACTCGATGGTGATGAGGGGTAGAAAGGCTGGATTGTTGGAATTAGTCCGAGATTTTATCCCAGAGCGCGCAGGTGGTAATTTATGCTAACTCCCAGTACATTACCTCCCCTCATTCAAACAACATATCCTTCACTTTACATAGTGCAAAACCAGTTGACCAGTCCTTGCGCTGCTTGCTACTTGCTGCTACTTATCTTATAGGAAACTTGCCTTATAGGAAACTTTTCGAATTTCAACACTATATATAACTGAAAAAATTTTTAATTTTTCGAATTTTTTTATTCGAGATGGGTCTTCGCCGAGCCCTTTTTTCATACACATTGGGATGAGCCCACGTTCCTTCTCACTGCAGTCTTAAGCTTTTGAGACGGATAAAATAAATTTTACCTCGATAGCACGTGAAATATCGTTCAGTGGCAACGTGCCAAGGGGTACAAGTCTGTCTGGTGCTATTTGGCACTGCGCCAAGAGATCATCGTTGACGAAACGGCTAACTTCTTCGGTGTGCTCCGGTTTTGCCTGAATTACAGCTTATCGTTCCTCCTGCAAATTTGCACATTTTATTGCTCATCGAGGCTTAGGGTTTATAAAGTCCAGTAAGGTGTGGTTTTTGGTTACCGTGCCCGCAATACGGAACCATGACTCTTAGCACAGTTTCGATTGGTTCCTTCACTCCGAAGTTTTTTCCCCTCAAGTTTGGGCAAAAACCTCACCCTCCTAGCTCATAATGGTTCCTTCGCGCATTCTATCGCCAATGACCTGATCCTACTCGAATCAGGGCACCTTATTCTGACAAAATATAAGCCCCAGTACCCATTAAGAGGGGTGGGAAGGTATATAGCGTGTCTTAACGGGAAACATCAGTGTTGAACAAGCTTCGTCAAACTGAATATGATCCATCTTTTTCAAAAATTCAGGCCACGACTCCACCCCTCCCGACGTAAGGTAAACGACAAAATCGCACTTAAGCATCCGGCCGTGTCCCGACACGATTTCCCTGATGTGAACGCGCGCCATACCGTGTTGTATGGAGCGATAACGAAGCGCACAGCGACGAAGTATGGAAAGCGCTCTCAAGTGTAGAAGTTTTTGATAATTCGGAAATCAGGCAAATAAGATAAATAACTCAAAGGATGGGCCAAAATAGACGTTTTAATTTCGAAACGTTCAAATGATGGTTGCACAGATGCTGGCCAATGTACACTTAGTTAAGTAAAATCACCCAGAGCGAAGTGAACCCTGATCTCCAGTGTGTGTAATCACCTTTCAGATGTCAATCACTGTAAGGAATGTAGCAAAGTAAGCGCCGAAAATCTCGCCATACTCAACCAACTTGATGGGGTCAAATCCAGAAGCTGGCCAAAATGCTTCACCAGAACGGCTCCACTGAGTCAACCGGGAATTATCTGAACCAACCCGTTGAAAGTTCAAGGCATAAATCAATGCGTACACCTCCTGCCACCGTTTCCCCAGATAGGGTACTTTGTCAGAAGCGTTGCGTATAAAGGTGCCCTATGCTTCGCATTGCTGAAGGAGCACTGTATAACTCACAAAATGCCACATTCTAATAAGGCATGTAACTGCAGGACCCGCAAAATGAACGTGCAAAATTGATTGAATTGCTACGACATTGATGAAGTGTACAGAAGCTGTTTCCAACTGCTCCCTCAGATCTTGAAGAAGCCATTTCGAGCGCAGAATGCTTAACTTTAAGGAAGCGGGTAGACGTAGAGGAAATGTCCTCACGTTGATGGGCGAGGTGCCTAAACATGATGAGAAGGCGCTTGTTCCCTCCTTACAGGACTTTACCTCCAGTTCAACGGAAATTTAGTGGGAAACGCCACATCATCAACATTATTATACAAGATTCGATGCTTTTGTGAGTATAGTGTGGTGATATTCCCATGTTGAGTTCATAGTAGTCAACTTAAGATGTTACTCGCTGGTGACGATAGTTGACCATGATGCCCTAGTGCCGAAACCGCGCCGCGACCGCCGCTCGCCTCACAAAAAGCGGCTTGCTGATGATGCGTATTTTGTAGTTTACCGTCACCCCTCCCCCTTGTCAAACAATCCAAAAGGATGATCCCTGGGTGGAACAGCGCCAGAAGGGCCATCTGTCCAGATCCCTTAGCAATATGAATAGAGAGCGACTTGCGAACTGCATACTTCAAGGTTCATTTCGCCAACACTTCACATAATAAGTTGCCAGATCAAGTTGGGTGCTTTCCTGGTTGTGTCAAATGTCTGAACTCACCCAGTAACTGAACATCACGGGTACGGTACTCAAGCATTGCACGTTCACTTTGGCAGCATCCATGTCTCGCAATCGAGTTGTTGTATCGAAACAATTCGGTTCAATCGTTCTGAAATAATTTTCTCGCTCAGATCATCTGTCCCAATATTGAATTCCCCTTACTTTTCAGCCCATTACATTGCGAAGTAGGTAACATAGAGGCAGGAGGCGCTGTCATTACCCTCTGTGTAACAGGATCAAGTTCTGAACCAGTTTTTGCGCACATGTAACCAAGCATTCCATTCCGACTTAGTGGTTTTTAGCACTGGACCCATCTCGGAAGACATTTAATGATTAGTTGTATCATACATTAGTCGTCTCGTAACTCGTTATATTGCTCGAACACGCATTTACACAGGTGAGGCGGTGTGTCCGCATTGCGACGACGCGCTGAGGGTGGCATCGCGGCATTCGCACCAGGAGCTAATTTGGAGCTCGGCAGTTCTAGCCAGCCACTTTGTGCACATCGTAGCAACGTGCGTATAACGCACCAAATCAATTCAAAGGCAGTCCCTGCGCTCAAGTAACTTGTAGGCATCCTTATTTTACAAGGAGTCCAGTCTTCAGCCTGTAATATTATCCCACTTTCGCGGCTTCACATTAAGTACGAAGGCGCGCTAGCTGTCCGTCCAATACGTGAGCAGTTTCTCACGGCCTCTCTGCTGTCCGCTCACGAAAAACTTCAAGGGCTTTTTTTCTGCCAGGGATTTCAATTTCCTATCCGTGGTTTTCACGGGCGTTTTTATTCATCTGCTTAGAGTGTAACTAGGAACAGGATGACGACGATGAAAAATCATGCGCAGCTGCCGAGGATAATGCCGTGATACGGAAGTAAAACGTGCAGGTCCGCAAATTCGTCTAGAGAGCTACAGGATGGTTCACATAAGTTTTTTTTGTTTTTTTCTTTCCATGGGGCTCCATTTAATGACTATAGTTTTGCAATCGAACACATTATCCACAATATACAATCGCGGCTTATGTCTGTAAGCTACTCTATAAATGAAGACAAAAGAAACACTCCTTAAGATTTGATCAACGCCAGTCATTTCTTTTTGTAAATTATACCCTGCTGAGGTCACTTTCTTAGGGACAGAGGTCTTTTGGCACGAACACATTGTTATCTACATGGTTAGACAGGGGTGACGGTACCTACAGAGTTGGTTAGCTTATCAGCATGGAACTATGGGATTTTGTAACTGAAAGCCTATAAAAAGCCGTGAAGGTTGACTTTGTTATTCCTGCTTTTCAATACGCGAGCCCAGCGTTGGCCAATCCCTCCAAGGTACGAAAAGCATTCTATTTCTTTCCAGTGAAGACGTATGAAAGGAGCAGTGCGAGAGATTCATATTAGTCTTTTTTGGGGAATCTCCAATAGTGATGGCCCCGACTAGCGGGGCGATCAGAAAGTGTTGACTCCATCTTCCTTTCTTTTCAAGGTAACTTTCACGGACATGACGAAGCCAAGAGTTCTGAGCTGTTGCCTCGTGAAGAAGAAATTTTTATTACTGGAAAAAGGCATACCGGAACAGTTTCCCGTCCTTCATCATGTTTGTCGTGCCATCCTCGCGGTGATCCAACATAACAAATCCAGCGTAGCCAAACTTCTAAAAACACTTGAGTTTAAGCCCTCGAGAACGGGCAACTTCGCAGTCTTGTTCGCGGGCCGTGTCGGGCTGGGTTTGGTGCGGCACTAGCCAGTACCAATTATGGTAGTCTGCCAAATTCCTCATTTGGTGGAGAACGAGCTAGCACCCTACCTAACCCAGTCTCTCTCTAGCTTGCCCCCGCGCCCGCAGCGAACAAAACTTCATATTTGTTCAGTAAGTATGCACGCCATTTCCTTGAACATCTTTCAGACAAGAGGATCTCAGACTTGGCCCTG